GAACGGGCTGGACTAGTTTGGAGATGAGAACATCTCGTAGGAGGGAGCGGGAGAAAAAGGAAGAAACTGAGGAATTTGCGAGGAGAGTAGGACTGAGAACTAGGAGGAGAAGGAGGAGTAGGAGGACTGGGAGGAGGAGGGGCATGAGGCGAGGATCAATTGAAGGAAGAGGAGTTGGAGGAAAGGGAGAAAAGGGGGTGGCAAAAGGAAAAGAAGGGGGAGAAAGATTTAATGCAAATAGTAGGATATGGAGGAGGAGGAGGAGGAGGAGGAGGAGGAGGAGGAGGAGGAGGAGGAGGAGGAGGAGGAGGAGGAGGGGAGGGGAGCGAAGAGCAGGCGATGTAATGTGAACCAGAGGAAGGGAAGCCGTGAAGAAGGAAACCAAGGAGGAGGTAGAGGAGGAAAACTTAGGCTTTCTTTTCCATTCAGAACTAGAATAAGAATTAAAACGGACACACACACACAGATAGGTTGTAATTTAGACAACTTGTGTGATCTTTTTTTTCATGTTTCTATCACGGCGTCCTCAGGTGGTCTCAGGAACTCTCTACAGGTACACCATCGAGCTCACGAACGGAGAAAATGTAAGTTTTGTATGTGTGAGGAAAAGGTGTATAAGTGCGTGTATACTTTAGAAAGACTTGGACAGACAGACACTTGGACAGGCAGACATACACTTGGACAGGCAGACACACACTTGGACAGACACATAGACAGACACTTGGACAGACAGACACGTGGACATATAGAGTGGCAGAGGTCATTGCAGCTTCACATCCTACAATGATCAAGGCACTTGTTGTTTTTGCACTAATTTCTTCCTCAACTTCCAGTTAATTAAAAACACACCTCTTGTCTTAACCACAAACCGATCAAATTCACACACTCACTGATACACTATCGTATCTAGGCTTAGCAAACGGTTTTAGCTCATTACACCTGCCAAAGTGAAAATAAAGACCCCCTTTTCTTTCTTCAAACCACTTTAGCTGTCACCAATGACAAAAACTACACTCGAAGATAAATAATGTTCAGCGAAGTACACTTGTTTAATTTTCGTTACAGTAACCTTTTCCACGTTTTCCAGGACTCGACGTAGATGGTTGGCGGGTGCTATGGTGTGGTTTGCTCCTTTTTTCAAATCAAACATCAATCGTCCTTATGTCTCCTCCCTCTTTTCAATGTATGTGACTTTCTAACTCCCTAGCAGCACCTTTTATCTTCGACACTTATGTGACCTCGTTGTGTTGCAAGTGCCGTAAAACACTTACTGAAACAAATCCGTCTGTCTTTCCTATGTACGGTACTCTCCAAGAACACCTCTTATCTTCGGCATTTATGTGACCTCATTGTGTTTCAAGTTCCGAAAAGAACTTTACTAAAACTAAAACCTCTCCCCATCCTGCTCCCCTCGCCTTGATGTTGCCACCTACAGAAAGAACAGTGTGACGTGAGAGTGTGGAGCCAGCCTTGGTTGCCAGAGGGACAGAGAACCGTGCTGGGTGGCGCACCCAAGTGCACGCAAGTGGTGAGAGCTAATATCAGCTTAGTTCTTCAACAGTTTTACTCTTTAACCTCTTCACCGTCAGGTCCTAGACATCTTGGGCTCTTTGGTGGGAATGAACACGAGGCCTGGTTGTGAAAGGGTTAAGGACGAAGCGGCCGCACATTATGTTCGAGCAAAAGTAGACTGAAGTTAATGTTGCTACTAATTTTGAAGAGCCATTTTACACAAATCAAAAAGGGGTGTTTGCACAATTAATGGCATGTTTATTGTTGCATAGAGATTTTTGAGTAGTTTCCAGGGTATATTCTCTTGTTAGATCAGACTCTTGATCAACAAACGTTTTTGTGTGCCCCCCCCCCCCTACTAAATTTGGGATAAAAGTAGACTGTGATAGTAAAATTGAAGTAAAATCTGTTTGGGTTATTCAATTTTGTCATCATTATCATGATTATGAACATATTCAACGTTTTTGTTCCTCATTTCTTCCTCCTTTCTTCTTCCTTCTTCTTCTTCTTCTTCTTCTTCTTCTTTCTTCTTCTTCTTCTTCTTCTTCTTCTTCTTCTTCTTCTTCTTCTTCTTCTTCTTCTTCTTCTTCTTCTTCTTCTTCTTCTTCTTCTTCTTCTTCTTCTTCTTCTTCTTCTTCTTCTTCTTCTTCTTCTTCTTCTTCTTCTTCTTCTTCTTCTTCTTCTTCTTCTTCTTCTTCTTAATTTTATTATTATTATTATTATTATCATCATTAGTATTGTTATTATTATTATTATTATTATTATTATTATTATTATTATTATTATTATTATTATTATTATTATCCACCCCTCTTAACCCCCTGCAACCGTGTGGCTCCATAGAAAGCTCCGTCTGCCCGGTCAATGCTCGGAGCACCGGAAGTTGTGTCAATAACTGAAGAAGATGTCCAGTCTGCCCTGGGCGCCCTGGAGCAGCGGCAAACTGCCCAGTCCAACGGTCTGGTCTACCTCAAGGCTGTCTCAGCAAAGAAGATCACGAAACAGGTCAGTGAGGATTGCTAGAGAGGGGAAAAAAGCTACTGTGGGGAGAGAGGGAGGGAGGGAGAGAAAGTGGACAGGGAGGGGGCGGGGAGGTGAAAGAAGAGGGAGTAATACATATAATGTTATGTACACCCGCACCCAATTCAATACACCCATAATGTGTATATCATTATGGGATGTTGTATCGTGTATCCCTCTCACCCAGGGTTTGCACTGACAGACAGGGTTTGCACTGACAGACAGGGCCAAAGCCTGCTTCCTAAAGATCTAGATTTTGTCGATGGTGACGTAGAAACACCAATACCAATCTTTCCTTTTTTTTACATAGACACTCATAATGATATACACATATTTTTGCAATATATACTTTTACATATTTAATGTTTTTATATAATTACATTTATATGTATTTATATAATTGTATTTATATGTATTTACATAATTGTATTTGTATGTATTTACTTAATTGTCTTTATATGCATTTATATAATTGTATTTATATGTGTGTGTAAAAAGTTGTTCTCGCATCCCATCCAGACATTGGGGATTGCCTTGTTAGTGAGACAACTTCCTGGACTTTTGGCATATTGTGGTAGGGTGGCCATATGTGGTTGTATATACAATGTATAATATGTGTTAGAGTGTACATTTACTGGGCTCGTGTGTGTGTGTGTGTGTGTGTGTGTGTGTGTGTGTGTGTGTGTGTGTGTGTTTGCATAATAAAGGTAATTAATAAAATCTAAATATCATATTTTATGGGTAAGGGTTTAGATGCCTCCGATAGTGTGTCTATATTATTGCACAAACAACGATGTTCAAACATGTCTCGCGTCTCGGCAGGTGGTGAACGGCCTCGTGTTCTCCTTGACCGACGTAACTTTCTACGGCTCCTCTTGCTCCAGAACCCCTACCGACAGGACGACATGCTCTGTGGCCGCTGATGCTTCCTTGGTAAATTATAATAAAAAAGGGCTCTCGTGGCCTAGAGGTTAAGGTGTTGGCCTCTCATTCAAAGGTCCCGGGTTCGAATCCGGGAAGTGACCGAAAAAATTCTCTTCTCTAAATTTTGTCTCCTTTCACCTCCTTTCCTGCTCTCTAGCAATATTCTGTCGTCTGCTTTCGTCTCCTCTTTCTGCCCCCACTCCCTCATCTCATTTGCCCCCCTCCTCTGGGCTCCTGATTCTTTCTACAGCCTTTCTGCTGCTACTCCTCGGCTACTTCTTACTGCTGTCTTTCAGCCACAACCCTGATCTGCAGGTAGGAAAGATCTACACCTAGCCTTCTCGGACAAGGGCGAAAAATCTCGGAGGGCCCGTGTGCAAGTTGCGCACATTAAATATCCCTTGGTGGTCTAAAATCGATAAGAGTAGGCTTCGGCCGCCACCCGGGCAAAATTCAAAATTTCCTACCAACTGAAAAAGTTTAATGTGTCCTGCGCGCTCATATGACCTTACGCCGTAAAACACTTACAAAAACAAACATATAACAAAAACGTCTATTTGAATCTATTTGAAAAAAACCCTGTTACAACAGCCTGGCTTCCAACCCATGCAGGCATTGATGGCAACGAAACCGTTGACCACTTTGCCAAAGAATCTCTAAAACTACCTGAAAACAAAAATAGTGCCATCCCATTCTCTGACTTGAAACCGAAAGAAAAAGAAGACATCACATCCTCCTGGACCCAAATTTGGAATCAACAAATACACAACAAACTCCATTACATTCAACCGAAACTTGCACCCAGGAAACCCGTGTCTTTTCTACGAAGAAAAAAAATGTTGTTTACACCTGATTAAAAATGGGACACACGCTCGCCACGCACAAACATAATTTACTCGAAGGCAATGAGGCTCATTTTCGCATGGCGTGCAACACATATTTTACTGTTCGACTCATTCTGTGTTGATTTTGACCAAGTACAAGTGAAATATTTCAAATGCAGAAACATCAAGACTGTATTTGACATCGTTAGTCCAAAGAGGATTTTTGGGTTTCATTAAGGAAATTGGATTGTTTCATTAGATATAGTCTGTCCGTCCTTATAACTTAGTTATAGATTTGTGGCGTTGAAACTTCTTCGCACTTACATGACTAATATTGAGTCGAAAGTGCCATAAAACACTTACTCCTCAATCAATCAATCAATCAATCAATCAATCAATCAATCAATCAATCAATCAATCAATAAACACACTAGTGCTTACATGTGTACAAGTACGCACATACACATGCCTACATCCACGTACGCACGTAAATATATTACCGCATATATACACAGACATATGTACTCATACATTCACGCACATACACATTTACACGCTCATATACAAACGCATATATATATATATATACTAACGCGCATATACAGGCACATATACTCACTATTACACATACACACACATACATAGACGCTCATATACGCAGACATACACATAATACGTACTCACACAACTATTCCATATTCCAAACGTATACAATATATTATTTATAACCTCCTTGTCCGTTCCTCAGGTGCAGACCTGCTCTGCCAACATTTGGTTCAGTACCCAAAATACGCCAAACTATAAAATCTCCGATGTGGTCTGCAAGGTGAGTTATAAAAATTGTGTCGATTGTGCCGTAAAACATCAATCAATCATTATGCATAGCGTATGTTCCAGAAAACTCACCTGCAGTGTTGTCTGTGGAAAGTTGGAGGATGTCTGTGGTTGGTCAGTTATCAACTTGCGTTTAGTCCTTCTGTTATTACTTTATATGGTTTGCTCCTTGTTCCCTATCAAACAACCGTCCCTCTCCCTCCTTTCCTTTGTATGTTACTTTTATACTCTCTAGCCTTCTGCTCTTATATGCTCCAGAAAAGGGCCCCTGTGTGTTGAGTATCTTCACCATAACCATGTCATTATCACGATAGAAAGCCCCTCCATCACCAACAAGAATATAATCAACAACGAACACAACAACAGTAACAACAATAATAACAATAGCAACAACTGCAACAACAATAATAACCACAACCACAACCACCGCAACCACCACAACCACCACAACTACGACCACAACAACAACAACAACAACAACAACAACAACAACAACATTATAATCTTTATCATTATCTTTATCATTATCTATATCAACATTATCATCATCATCATCATCATCAGCAGCAGCAGCAGCTTCAGCGGTAGCAGCAGCAGCTTCAGCAGTAGCAGCAGCAACAACAACACCAGCAACACCTTCATCCCCAGCATCGTCATCATCAACATCATCGTCAACCGCCAGCAGCATCATCACCATTTACAACAACAGAAACAACAACAACAACAACAAAACATGTCTATGTGTACATCTGTGTCTCTGTCTGTCTGTCTCCCTGTCTATCTGTCGGTCTATCTGTACCTTATTATTATCCTTATTTTTATTATTATTATTATTATTATTATTATTATTATTATTATTATTATTATTATTATCATCATCATCATCATCATTATTATTGTTATTACGGCATTATTATTGTCGTTGTTATCGTTCTTACAGTTGTTATCGTTGTTGTTGTTGTTGTTGTTGTTTTTGTTGTTGATGTTGCTGTTGTTGTTGTGTGGGTGGTTTGTGGGTGCTCTGGTGTGGTTTGCTTCTTTTCCTATCAAACATCTATCGTCTTTATCTCCCTTCCTTCTTTTTCGTGTTTGTTACTCTCTTGTCACACCTCTAATCTTCGGCACTGATATTATGACCTTATAGTGTTGCAAGTGCCGTAAAACTCTTACTAAAACAAAAATGATATTTTAAAAAGTTGTTGCTGCTATTGTTGTTGTTGTTGTTAATGTTGTTGTTGTCCATTAGAGGATTTCGATGTCAAAGGCTATATATACATGTACCTGACACTACTTTTACTTTTCTGTTTCAGTAAACCAAGTCCTCATTTTGAAGGATCGGCTCTTTACAGATGTAGATCTAGATCTACAGCTGTCTTTGCCATGTATCTGTTTTGACCATGTACACTTTTTTGTGAATAAAATTGTATTTGCGCAAATGAAAATAGTTTTCTTTTTTATATGGATTTGCTGTATGATGTTGTTCTTTGCCACATTCTTCCCATCAGTACCGAAACTGTTTATTGTCCCAGTTGTCGCTGTTGTTGTTGGTGTTAGTTGTTGTTGTTTTTGTTGTTGTCAGTTGTTTTTTGTCCTTTGTTGTTGTTTTTGTTGTTGTCGTTGTAATTGTCAGTTGTTGTCGGTTGTTGTTGTCAGTTGTTATTTTCAGTTGTTGTCTTTGTCAGTTGTTGTTTCCGCTGGTGTTGACGATTGTGATGGTGGGTGATTGGCAGGTGCTCTGGTGTGGTTTGCTCCTTCTTTCCAATTAAACATATATCGTCCTTATCTCTCGTCCTTCTTTTCTGTGTATGTTACTCTCTTGTAACACATCTATAATTCGGCACGTATATGACCTTATTGTGTTGCAAGTGCCGTAAAACTCTTACTAAAGGATCGGCTGATGAAGCTGAGGATTTTCAATTTAAACGTGAAGTCAGTTGTGTTGTATGGAAGTGAGATATGGAACGCATCCCAGACTTGCATAAAGAGGAACTCGGTTTTCTTGAAGAAGTGTCTAAGACAGTTTCTGAGGATCAGATGGACAGAAAAGGTCACCAACGACAGATCCCAGTCAGAGATGAGGTCCCTTTGAAGAATCTAAGACTGTGCATGCTGCTGAGTTTCAAAATTTCTACCATACTGTTCTAGAATGTTATAAAGTACAAGGTCTGTTCACCTCTTCCCATTTTTACTCTCACCATATCTCCCCACCCGTTCTCTTTCCCATTTTCGGCGAGTAGTCGGAGGGCACCTCTTGTAGGAACTATGTAATGTACTTCATTTCTTTCCCCCTCTTGTATCCTATCTGCCTGTTTTGATATTTTCTTTCACTAACTGACAACTATTGTGTCGATGTGATCCTCTTTAATAACTCCAGTGGCCACGTGGTTAAGAGGCTCAGGCTCACTGGGATGTGTCTTCACCCCCCCCACACACATACAAAACGCAACAAAAACAACAAGCAACACAAACAAAATTAAAACAAAAACAAAAACAAAATCCAAGAAAAGAAAAGAGGGGGCTGCACAATAACAACCAGCAATAGCGTGTTTGTCGTATGCCTGTGATGTAAGAAGAGCTATCTATGTATTATATCTCTGCATATATTTTTGCTACGGCTTTGTAAAACAAATTTCCTCACGAGGATCAATAAAGCGGAAGTTATTTTTCTTTAAATTTTATCAGTCTTTTTATTTACTCAAACGAAATGTCTCACTTCTATTAGGTAAGCATGTGTATCATTCTCTCTCTCTTTCTCTCTCTCTCTCTCTCTCTCTCTCTCTCTCTCTCTCTCTCTCTCTCTCTCTCTCTCTCTCTCTTTCTCTCTCTCCCCTTCTTTCCCTCTCTCTTTCTTTCTATTTTTGTTTTATTGTCCAATTAACTATCTGCAGGGGTTTGGTTTTCACCTCGTGACCACCCCTTGTCGGAATTACTGCAGATACATTTTCTTAAAACATGCCCTTATCAACAGAATTAAGATCAGTTAGGAAGCGGACTTCGACCCTGCCTGTCAAGGCCAACAAGAGCTAAAAGGGATCAATGTTTCAGAAGGGCAGAAAGTCCGAGATACTCGATAAAAATCCTTCCCACACTGGAATCAAACTCGGGTCTTCTTCGTGCGGAGGAGAAGGGCCAAACCGCAGCACCACGAAGCGTGTGCAGAGACACTAACTTTACCAAACGAAATTGTGAGGTGAGGACTAATTTCAACAGTTTGCAAATGTCTAAAGATTGACGTGTGTTATAGGGTGCAAGGCTTCTGAGGGCTGAGCGGCACGCCTCAATACCTTCTTGGTGTGGTATGTTGTTGTACATATTGACAACGTCTATGGCCAAAAAGTTAGTTTCAGGAGTGAGAATGTTTTTAGAATTAATAGTTTCTATTTTTTGGAGAACGTAGAGATTATCTTTCACCCAGTGGGTACCACAAAAGTCAAGGAAAGGGGTTTGAAAATGCTGTCCAACCAATAGGAAGCTCTGACTGTAGGACCATTAATTTGGGAAATAATGCCTCTAAATCGAGGGAGTTTAGAATTGTTGTTTGCTAGCTTGTGGATTTTAGGTAGGCCATAAAAGTAGGGGCACGACACCTCCCATCATCATCATCATCATCATCATCATCATCATCATCATCATCACAACAACAACAACAACAACAACAACAACAACAACAACAACAACAACAACAACAATAACAACAACAAGAAAAATATGCTTCTGTCCTTATACGTGTAAAATGCTTCCACCGCCTACAACTTCCTTTGTTGTTTATCTTTTGACCGTTTTTTGTTGTGGATTGTATACAATAAAAATCGGGACCTTAATGCCAGCATTGCGCTGTACCACAATTGGTAAGTCACAAACCTGTACGTTCTCTTGGGTTAAAAAACGAAGAAAAATTCAAAAACCAAAAAAAAAAAAAAAAAAATGAAAACCGCCCACACTAGTGATAGTCTGTCCACTTTCCCCGAAGTACATTACCAGAAAGTCCAAGTTACGTAAAAGCCGGAAAATGTTTTTAAAAAGTAATTCCCAGTAATTTCATTCTTCGTGATTTTTAATGTGGGTACCTTAGAACTACCAAGCTCTATCTGCTCAGTACCACGTTTTGAGAAATTTGACGTAAAACGTTTTGAGTTTCACTGCATGTCAAGCGTTTTCGAATGCAATTCTTTGAATATCTTGGTAACGACTCCGAAAAATCTTACTGTTTTGATAGAGTAGATAGAACATGGTTTCTGACCTTATGGTCTTAGTAACTCAAAACGACCAAAAACGTCAGACAGAACGTTGTAATTCTAAGGTAGCCACGTAGGTAGGCAGGTGTAATCAGTGTTTAGGGCTACTGGGCCATAATATAGTAAAGATACATATTATTTCAGAAAAGACTTCCATGAAAACAGCATAAAACTTAAATGACTTACGGTACATATCACTAACATGTGAAACAAGAGCGATTTTAAAATTACAGTTGAAAAAATATATCAGTAATGCTCAGAGGTTATAATATAGTGTAAAGCGCATAGAGCCTGCTGTTGAGCGGGGATATGCGCTATACAAATGCTATCTATTATTATTATTATTATTATATTGTCAAGAAGCCAACAGGAACTTAAAAAATTTAGTAGAACGTAGGAATAAACAAAAAACAAGAACATCCACTAACCACTTGCTTCGTGCACTATCAAAAAAGGAATACACCTGTCAATAAAAAAACGTGGGTGGTTGGAGAGTTCTCTGGTGCGGTTTGCTCCTTTTTTTTTATCAAACATAATAATAATAAAATAATAATATATAACATTTTTATAGAGCTCAATGCGCTTTGCATTGGAGTACCCGTTTTTCAAAAATCTTTCTTACTACTTCCTTTCTTATCATGCAATATACATTAATGCACACACAGATACACACACACACACACACACACACACACACACACACACACACACACACACACACACACACACACACACACACACACACAGACACACACACAGCACACAGACTTTTTTTCATCCAGACATAGGAACAGAACAACTATAATGAAAAATAATATATACATTTGAAACACATGACGCATGTAAATATTATTCTTTCTTTTACATTTAGATCTTGTTATCAGTCTAGCGGCATTGTTTTGAATCATTGTTTTGAATGAGCCAATGCAGTTCTTTTAATAATGGAGTGACATGGTCTCGTTTTTTAGATCTTGTTATCAGTCTAGCGGCATTGTTTTGAATTACTTGTAAACGATTCAAATATTTGTTGTTGAGACCTGCTAGGAGTGAGTTACAATAGTCTAATCTAGATAGAATAAGAGATGTTGCCAGTGTTTTTGTGGTCTCTTCGTTCAACCGAGATTCTTGACAACTTCTTTATTATATGTCATATGCCGATATAAATCAAAGTTGACACTTTCCAGATTTTTATTTAATCGTGGATTTTTTAAAAGTAATGATGTCTGTCTTTTCTTCGTTTAGTTTCAACTTGTTTACTGTCATCCACTTTTTAATTTCATAAAAACATTGTTTAGTGATAGAAATCATGTTTGGCAGATCTTGAATGGTGCCATTAACATACATTTGGGAATCATCGGCATAAAAATGATAATTCAATCCATGATTTTGTAAAATGCTTGTTAAGGGTTGTGTATATAGTGTAAAGAGCACTGGTCCAAGAACGGACCCAAGTGGAACTTCATCATCGAGCCTGACCTGCTTTGAAAAGCTATTTTTAATTTGCACTGACTGAACTCTTTCTAGTAAATATGACTTAAACCATGAAAGCACAGTATCCGATAAGGCAAATGAGCGCTCAAGTAGAATAGCATGATCAATTGTGTCAAAAGCTGCGGACAGATCCAAAAGAGTTAAAAGACAGATGTTTTTGCTATCAACGGAATCCAATAAATCAGATGTTACTTTTAAAAGAGCAATTTCGGTACTATGATCAGTTTTATAGGCAGATTGTTTTTGCTCTCAACGGAATCCAATAAATCAGATGTTACTTGACTTAAAACAATCTTCTCTAAAATTTTGAGACAAATTGCAAATTCGAAACTGGTCGATAGTTTTTTAATTCATTTTTATCAAGCCCGGGTTTTTTCAATAAAGGTTTTACAATAGCTTCTTTGCCGGGTTTTTTCAGTAAAAGTTTTAAAATTCATTTTTACCAAGCCCGGGTTTTTTCAATAAAGAATATCAATACATGTTATGAGTACATGAGCAGGCATTGGGTCAAGGTCACATGTTTTTATGGTTGAGTAATGTGAGGTAGGACAATATCAATACATGTTATGAGTACATGAGCAGGCATTGGGTCAAGGTCACATGTTTTTATGGTTGACCCATTAATACAATTTAAAATATCACTATTTGTAACTGAACTAAAAGAATCTAATATCTGTCCAGTAAATTCTGAAAATTCTAAATTTCCATTTGGCTCTAGGTCGAGAGAAGAGCGTATGGTATTAATTTTTGTCATTGAAAAAAGTCACAAATAAACAACCAAGTTCGTCATCTGATGTTGTAGAGGGGAGAGGAGATATTGTTTCTTTTCCCAGAATAACATCTATCCTCCTTATCCGTCCTCCTTCTTATCTTTGAGTTACTCTCTCGTAACACCTCGAACGTTCGGCACTTGTATGGCCTATTTTTGTTACAAGTGCCGTAAAACTCTGATAACAACAAAACAAAACAGAACAAAAATCGAAAACCGCCCACAGCTGTGACAGTCTCTGCCCTTTACTTCACCGTACGTTGTCAAAAAGTCAAGATTACATACACGTAGTATGGCTTTAGTAGAAAAATAAATCACAGTGCGGCAGTGGTAATGCCAGAATGTAACTTCACTGCAAGGATTGTAATATAATTCTTTAAGGGCAATAATAATGATGATGATAATAATAACTTTACTTACTTTACTTTTTTCTTCCGCTTGTACCCTGGGGTGTCGCGGGGAGACACAGGTGTCTGTCTGCAGCAAGTCGTGTGGCCTGTAGGAGGGACATCCCATGATCTTTAAGGGTGTCTGCCACAGATTCACTCCATCGTCGCCTTGGTCTTCCTCTGGCTCTCCATCCAGAATATTTAATGTTGTATGCTCTCAGAGCTGGATGGTTTGAGGGCATCCGCGTGAGGTGTCCGAACCACTTGACCCTTTGTTTTTCAATGTGTGGTAGGACTGGTGTTGCTCCCACGGTGTCCCTAATGACTTCATTTTAAATTTTGTCTCTTCTTGTTTTGTTGACCGCTCTTCTTAAGCATTTCATCTCGCATGTGACCAGTTTCCTCTCTAGGGCTTTTGTTAGAGTCCATGTCTGGCACTGATATGTGAGCGTTGGAAGGAAAATGGCGTTGATGAGCTTCGCCTTGGTCCTCATGGGGATATTGGGATGTTTCAGGAGAGGGCCCAGTTGGTAGCTGACTGCGTTGGCTCTCTGGCATCTAGTCTCTATCTCTCGATCTAATTTTCCATTTTCTGTGAAAATGCTGCCCAAATATTTGAATTCTCTGCTTTGTTTTAGTTGGGATCCATTGATGTTGATATCCACTTTACCTGGTCTCCTGCTAACTGTCATGACTTCGGTCTTGCTTATGCTGATCTTCATGTCATATTTTTCGCAGCTCGCATTTAGTTGGTTTATATGCTCCTGTAGCTGAGTCTGCAAGGATTGTAATATAATTCTTTAAGGGCAATAATAATGATGGTGATAATAATAAATAATAATAATAATAATAATAATGATAATAATGAAGATAGATAGATAGATAGATAGATAGATAGAGGTTGAAGGTGAGTAGTTTGACGTTCTGAAACACTTCGTTTGAATGAGGGAGAGGGTTTTTTGGAGGGGGCGGGGGCTTGGGAGATGTCAGGTAAGGGAAATAGTCAGGGGTGTACACAAGAGAAAAATAACTTTAAAAGACAAACTGCTGTTGCTACTATCATTGTTTGGTTAAACGTCCACGTGGCGTCTTTGGATGTACCATTAGCTCAGTTGGTATCATGCTGGACTGCGGTGCGCATGGCCCTGATTTGAATCCCCAACTAAAAGTTTTGAACTTTCGCTTGTATTGAGGAGTGTGTATATATAAATATATATATATATATATATATATATATATATATATATATATATATATATATATATATATATATGTGTGTGTGTGTGTGTGTGTGTGTGTGTGTGTGTGTGTGTATATATATATATATATATATATATATATATATATATGAACGTTACATTTGGGTGGTTCTACTTCTCATATAAACTTCCAGTGTTGGAAGGAGCTTTATACTCGTATGATTTTGCATTTCCCGGTCATAACGAACAGGATTTGACGGTTGAATCCCTTTTTTGATTTTTTCCCTGGTATGAGAGAGGCAAGGGATCAAACAGGGTTTACTTTGTCACTGGACAGGACAAGTTTACGTCTATTCTACTCTTAGTAGGACCGGGACCACAAAGCATGCTCACATTGTTTGCGCAATATACCGCTGAAGTATTTTAAAGCAAAGATAGAATATATGTTTAAAAAAATCTCCCCACCCCCTTAAAAACACCACCTACCCCCTTTCAAACATACAATGGAACAAAACAAAACAAAACAAAACAAAAAAACCAAAACAAAAACAATTCAAGTACAATTTAAAGCCAAATAAAATGCAATGCTCGACCCCCACCCCCCCAAAAAAAGAAAAACAAAACAAATAAACAAACAAAAAGTGTTAATGCACTGGGTTTTTAAAGTCATCAGATCGACGTCTGTTGATAGCCAAGTTTCTTGCCGTTGACCTTGCCATTGCGCAAGGATTGTCGGGTCAATCCACAGAATTTACACTATCTCAAAGCTGATTAGCTACTGCAGTGATGAAGCTTAAAATAAATCCAAAACAAAAACACAACACCATATAAGGTATGCTTAAAAAATGACAACGTCTTCAAAACAATACGGAGATTATTTCGTGATCGGTTGTGAGACTTCTGGTTTTACAGCCCTATGGTGACCTCTGACCAAACACAAACCTGTTGCGATTTTGTTAACAATATGAAGAACAAAAAGTGGGCACTTTTTTAAACCTTATCTTTAATCATTATCCAATATTATCTAACAAACAATTATCACTGCCCCCCTTTTGAGGCAATAAATGAGAACTGGTCATGCGTGCAGGAGATTCATAGATTGCTTAAAAAAGACGTGCCGAACGTCTTGTCCTCCATGCCCCCTGAAGACCAAAATTGTCAAGACCGCCTGAGACAATCCCCTGAAACGGCGCCCACTCACTCCAGCGTGTATAAAAGGTCCGCGTGTGGTTTGTTTATGCATTTAGGATCGCATGACTACTTAATTCCTTCCTTCGAACACTTTGTGAGAAAGAGAAACCAACAACTTTACAGCCAACATGAAGGTAAGTCAGAATAATACTAGGGTCGAATAGTCGGACAGGAAACGAGAGGTTGAGATTTAATAAGTAAATAAATGTTAATAACAAATAGCATTGATTTATAAAGCGTTAGCTTTTGTGATCGTTTTTTATTCGGAAATAAATACAACTATTAGCACTAATTACTGAACAATACATTCCAACGAAAACCGTTTTCCACATTTCAGTTTCTATTCTTATTATGTGACCTCCCGCTTTTCTCCTATGGCCTATAATTACAAATAACTGAGGCAATTATTTAGAGAACAAGAACAAAATAGTTGTAAGTGAATTGAAAACAGCAGCATCTTTATCAGCATTAACAACAAAAACAGCAGCAACAATAAAGACAGCAACAACAATAATAACAGCAGCAACAGTGACAGCAGCAGCAATGACAAAAGTGACAACAACAATAACAACGGTGACAACAATAGGGGAAACAACAATAACAACAACAGAAACATTGACAAATGAAAATGACAAAAACAACAATGACAAAAGTAGCAACAATAACAACAACAATGACAACAGCTACAACAATAACACAAGCAGCAGCTATGACAACAGCAGCAGCAATGACTACAACAACAACAATAGCAGCAGCAGCAATGAATGCGACTGTCCTGACCATACTGTGACAAATGTGTCGTAAACATTATTATACTCATCCAAACAACGATGTAAATGGCTATGGAAAGTGTAAACAGCAAACCAAAACTAAAAACAATATAAGAGGCCAGTAATTACAAGCCTTCCCGACTACTACAACCACGACAACGACAACGAAAATGACAACGACAACTATAACGACAACGATAACAATGACCTTAGATAACGACAAAGATAACGACAAAGATAGCTACAACGATAGCGACAGCGATAGCGAAAGTATAGATTATATTCCATGCTGGGGTTCTCCTCAATAATTAGCCTCCGTTGAGTGTGGCGCCACCTGCCGTCCTTGGTATCATCACCAGTTTATTTACTTCACTAAATGGAAAACGTTTCCTAGTTGTTACTGAAACGTGGAAAAGGCGGTAAATGCCATGAGACAATGTGACTTTGTACTACGCAGTTGGATTCTTGTGAAATCGACAAACTATCAAGAGCGGGTGGTATAAGCCCCACTGGTGGGTCTTTCTTCTTTACTTTCCCTCTGTTGTTTAGCACTAAATGACCATTATTGTGTCGATGTGCTTCTCTTTATTCAAATAAACAAAAACAAAAAGCAAAAAGCAACAAAAGAGCCATCTAGCCCTAATCTCTTACTCATGATATCGGAGGGAAAAGCGCCTTTGTATTTGTATTCATTTTGAAAATCACAACGTCCGAGTATGATAGAATAGGATGTTGATACTGAGGCTTAACATGCAATGTTTTGTGGTTAGAAACGGTGTGCACAATAACTTCTGTACGTGCGCTTCCGAAGGTTTGTCCATGGCACACGAACTCCTCTTTGCAATAATCGCATCCCCAAGTTCTCAACTATAGAAGAAAAAAAACTGTGTTGATAATGCTGTAAATCAGCTACCCAATCAATCAATCAATAAAACTGCCAAGCTTTTTTCTCTGTTCTGATTTCTTTCTGCAAGAGCTTAGCACCGGACTAAATCCAAGAGGATTATTTCGATTGTTTGTGAGGGTTTCAGGGTATGTTTTGTGGTTTAGACCAGCCTCTTGGTGGTCAGACATTTATTTTGTCGCCCCGGGAAACTCGAAAGAAAGCTTCATGAAATCGTATTGTTTCTCGTCATTTTCTTTGAATATAAACCCAGAATGCTCAGAGCAAATGATGGCCAAATCCGATTCGACAGTACCATAAAACACTACGTTAAATAAAAAAAGACCCCAACCAAAACAAACAAACAGGACCCAATGAATTGTCTGAGTAGGTGAAGCCTGTCTTACAACCCCCTCCCTCCCAATCCATGCAATTACCATAATTGTATCATCTTCCCTCTCGTTCTCCCCTCGACAGCTCATCTTCGTCGTCTGTTTAATCCTGCCGCTCATTTCCGGCGCCGTGTTGACCGGAGGTATCAACAACGACTACACGACCTCCTTGGATGACCCCAACGTCAAGTTCGCCGTGGACGGCATCAACAGCTACTACAAGGGTCTCGGCGACAGCACCTCCCGCACTGCCGTACGCCTCGTCTCCGCCTCTTCACAGGTGAGCCTTTAAAGCTGTCCGTGGGTGGTTAGCGGGCGCCCTGCTGTGGTTCGCCCCTTCTTCCTTAGCAAAGATTTGATGTCCTCGTCTTTTCTCCTTTTTTGACCTTTTTTATTTGCCCTTTTTTATACTCTCGTGGAACGTGATTATCCTTCGGCACTTTGTATAACCAATTTGTGTTGCAAATGCCGTAAAACTCTTTCTAACACTATAATTCAGAAAGCACGTTTTAGAGAAGAAAAAAACCCAGTTTCAATTCTTTCACAAAGAGTACCGACGATATGAATCTTTTTCCTTTAAAATAGCATTTATAATTTGAATTTCGGCCAAATTTCTCAGGTATATGTAACCGGTCAACAAGTTAAGAAGGTGTAGCAAATATTTTTCAAAATTTGGGACTTTGTGCATCTGGAGAGCTGGCTGACACCATGCAGATGATCATGAATAGGATTTGTGACCACATCCAATGTCAACGGGCTGGACTAGTTTGGAGATGAGAACATCTCGTAGGAGGGAGCGGGAGAAAAAGGAAGAAACTGAGGAATTTGCGAGGAGAGGAGGACTGAGAACTAGGAGGAGAAGGAGGAGTAGGAGGACTGGGAGGAGGAGGGGCATGAGACGAGGATCAGTTGACGGAAGAGGAGTTGGAGGAAACGGAGAAAAGGGGGTGGCAAAAGGAAAAGGAGGGGGAGAAAGATTTAATGCAAATAGTAGGAGATGGAGGAGGAGGAGGAGGAGGAGGAGGAGGAGGAGGAGGAGGAGGAGGAGGAGGAGGAGGAGGAGGAGGGGAGGGGAGCGAAGAGCAGGCGATGTAATGTGAACCAGAGGAAGGGAAGCCGTGAAGAAGGAAACCAAGGAGGAGGTAGAGGAGGAAAACTTAGGCTTTCTTTTCCATTCAGAACTAGAATAAGAATTAAAACGGACACACACACACAGATAGGTTGTAATTTAGACAACTTGTGTGATCTTTTTTTTCATGTTCTTCACTCCTGACTACCTGACTAAATTTCTATCACGGCGTCCTCAGGTGGTCTCAGGAACTCTCTACAGGTACACCATCGAGCTCACGAACGGAGAAAATGTAAGTTTTGTATGTGTGAGGAAAAGGTGTATAAGTGCGTGTATACTTTAGAAAGACTTGGACAGACAGACACTTGGACAGGCAGACACACACTTGGACAGGCAGACACACACTTGGACAGGCAGACACACACTTGGACAGACAGACACGTGGACAGATAGAGTGGCAGAGGTCATTGCAGCTTCACATCCTACAATGATCAAGGCACTTGTTGTTTTTGCACTAATTTCTACCTCAACTTCCAGTTAATTAAAAACACACCTCTTGTCTTAACCACAAACCGATCAAATTCACACACTCACTGATACACTATCGTATCTAGGCTTAGCAAACGGTTTTAGCTCATTACACCTGCCAAAGTGAAAATAAAGACCCCATTTTCTTCCTTCAAACCACTTTAGCTGTCACCAGTGACAAAAACTACACTCGAAGATAAATAATGTTCAGCGAAGTACACTTGTTTAATTTTCGTTACAGTAACCTTTTCCACGTTTTCCAGGACTCGACGTAGATGGTTGGCGGGTGCTATGGTGTGGTTTGCTCCTTTTTTCAAATCAAACATCAATCGTCCTTATGTCTCCTCCCTCTTTTCAATGTATGTGACTTTCTAACCCCCTAGCAGCACCTTTTATCTTCGGCACTTATGTGACCTCATTGTGTTGCAAGTGCCGTAAAACACTTACTAAAACAAATCCGTCTGTCTTTCCTATGTACGGTACTCTCCAAGAACACCTCTTATCTTCGGCATTTATATGACCTAATTGTGTTTCAAGTTCCGAAAAGAACTTTACTAAAACTAAAACCTCTCCCCATCCTGCTCCCCTCGCCTTGATGTTGCCACCTACAGAAAGAACAGTGTGACGTGAGAGTGTGGAGCCAGCCTTGGTTGCCAGAGGGACAGAGAACCGTGCTGGGTGGCGCACCCAAGTGCACGCAAGTGGTGAGAGCTAATATCAGCTTAGTTCTTCAAGAGTTTTACTCTTTAACCTCTTCACCGTCAGGTCCTAGACATCTTGGGCCCTTTGGTGGATATGAACACAAGGCCTGGTTGTGAAAGGGTTAAGGACGAAGCGGCCGCACATTATGTTCGAGCAAAAGTAGACTGAAGTTAATGTTGCTACTAATTTTGAAGAGCCTTTTTACACAAATCAAAAAGGCGTTTTTTCACAATTAATGGCATGCTTGTTGTTGCATAGAGATTTTTGAGTAGTTTCCAGGGTATATTCTCTTGTTAGATCAGACTCTTGATCAACAAACGTTTTTGTGTGCCCCCCCCCCCCTTACTAAATTTGGGATAAAAGTAGACTGTGATAGTAAAATTGAAGTAAAATCTGTTTGGGTTATTCAATTTTGTCATCATTATCATGATTATGAACATATTCAACGTTTTTGTTCCTCATTTCTTCCTCCTTTCTTCTTCCTTCTTCCTCCTTCCTTCAACATTCTTCTTCTTCTTCTTCTTCTTCTTCTTCTTCTTTCTTCTTCTTCTTCTTCTTCTTCTTCTTCTTCTTCTTCTTCTTCTTCTTCTTCTTCTTCTTCTTCTTCTTCTTCTTCTTCTTCTTCTTCTTCTTCTTCTTCTTCTTCTTCTTCTTCTTAATTTTATTATTATTATTATTATCATCATCATTGGTATTGTTATTATTATTATTATTATTATTATTATTATTATTATTATTATTATTATTATTATTATTATTATCCACCCCTCTTAACCCCCTGCAACCGTGTGGCTCCATAGAAAGCTCCGTCTGCCCGGTCAATGCTCGGAGCACCGGAAGTTGTGTCAATAACTGAAGAAGATGTCCAGTCTGCCCTGGGCGCCCTGGAGCAGCGGCAAACTGCCCAGTCCAACGGTCTGGTCTACCTCAAGGCTGTCTCGGCAAAGAAGATCACGAAACAGGTCAGTGGGGATTGCTAGAGAGGGGAAAAAAGCTACTGTGGGGAGAGAGGGAGGGAGGGAGAGAAAGTGGACAGGGAGGGGGCGGGGAGGTGAAAGAAGAGGGAGTAATACATATAATGTTATGTACACCCGCACCCAATTCAATACACCCATAATGTGTATATCATTATGGGATGTTGTATCGTGTATCCCTCTCAGCCAGGGTTTGCACTGACAGACAGGGCCAAAGCCCGCTTCCTAAAGATCTAGATTTTGTCGATGGTGACGTAGAAACACCAATACCAATCTTTCCTTTTTTTTACATAGACACTCATAATGATATACACATATTTTTGCAATATATACTTTTACATATTTAATGTTTTTATATAATTACATTTATATGTATTTATATAATTGTATTTATATGTATTTACATAATTGTATTTATATGTATTTACATAATTGTCTTTATATGCATTTATATAATTGTATTTATATGTGTGTGTAAAAAGTTGTTCTCGCATCCCATCCAGACATTGGGGATTGCCTTGTTAGTGAGACAACTTCCTGGACTTTTGGCATATTGTGGTAGGGTGGCCATATGTGGTTGTATATACAATGTATAATATGTGTTAGAGTGTACATTTACACAAATGTATACGCACACTGGGCTCGTGTGTGTGTGTGTGTGTGTGTGTGTGTGTGTGTGTGTGTGTGTGTGTGTGTGTGTGTGTGTGTGTGTGTGTGTGTGTGTGCGTGTGTGTGTGTGTGTGTGTGTGTGTGTGTGTGTGTGTGTGTGTGTGTGTGTGTGTTTGCATAATAAAGGTAATTAATAAAATCTAAATATCATATTTTATGGGTAAGGGTTTAGATGCCTCCGATAGTGTGTCTATATTATTGCACAAACAACGATGTTCAAACATGTCTCGCGTCTCGGCAGGTGGTGAACGGCCTCGTGTTCTCCTTGACCGACGTAACTTTCTACGGCTCCTCTTGCTCCAGAACCCCTACCGACAGGACGACATGCTCTGTGGCCGCTGATGCTTCCTTGGTAAATTATAATAAAAAAGGGCTCTCGTGGCCTAGAGGTTAAGGTGTTGGCCTCTCATTCAAAGGTCCCGGGTTCGAATCCGGG